TTCAGACGAGCTTTGAAATTGTCCAAAAGCCCATTTAAGCTCATTCATGGAGATTGTGTTCCCCCCAAATCCCACCTTCAGTCACAACTTGCCTCCCGAGGCAAGGAAAGAGGAGTTGGGTTTTTGACGAGTGCACCAGGTAGAGAACTCATGACCTCGTGGTCTCAAGACATCCGCCAACACCAAAGGTGTCACGTGGCAGGTTTCCAGTACGGCCGTCAATGGCTGCAAGGGGGGGTTTTCTACGGCAACGCCTTCCAGAGTGGTGGAGTGTCAACACGTGAGATGAACAATTTCCTCCTTTCGCAGGTGTACAACCGAATAGGCACCGGTGCTTGTGGGCCCAGGTTCATTGGAGGTGATTTTAATCATTTCATTGATGATCTTTCAGTGGTTCAGACAATGCTCCAACAAGGGTGGCAGGAAGTACAGCACTTGGCCGCCAGCCGCTTTGGGCAGGAAATCCAGCCAACCATCCAGCAAAAACATGCTAAGGATTTGCTTTTTCTCAGCCCAGAGGTGACCCCATTTGTTAAACAAGTTTGTGTGGAGCCAGAATGGGTTGCAAATCATTCCTTAGTCTATGTGGTTTTAGATGTTGAAGCTACCCAGCCAAGGGTCCCAATCTGGAAACAACCCAGACAGATCGACTGGAACCTCACAGCCACCACCTCGGTCAATGACGACTTGCCTTTTTCACCAGGAACACAGCACCAACAAACGGCCGAAGATCAATACCGTGCAGTATGGCAATCTTTCGAACATCAAAAGGTTTCGGAGGCTAGAAGGTTGGGGTGCAACATCCATGAATCCCAACTCGGAAGGGGAGCCACCACCGAGCGGAAATGGATAACAGAGAACTTTGTCCCGCTCCGCCCATCTCGGCCCGGAGGTTTCACCCCAGAATATCATGGACAGAGCATGCTCCATACACGATGGATTAAACAGCTCCGTAGACTGCAGGCATTAGCCCAGACGCACCACCCAGGACATCGCCAATCATCGCAATGGCTAGATAGGAAACTTGGACAGTGGCATGCAATCATCCATGCAACAGGCTTCAAGCCGTCCTTTCCGCAATGGTGGGCAAACAAAGCAAAGCATGTTCTTGGTTTGCCATCCATACTTCCAGACAGAGCACCGGACGAGCACTTGGCGCGTCTTTTAGCTTTGGACTTCAAAGAAGACGTCCATGAACTGGAAAGTATGTTGCAAACATCTCGAATTCGGCAGGCCAAGCAGTCGCGCCTGGACAATCCAGCCAGGATCTTCACAGATCTACAGGCACCAAGACCAGAACCAGTACAGATGCTTTTGGCACATCATTCGTCGACCGTGGAATGTATAGATCAGGAGGAGTGTGCCGTCGAACTTGCTTCAGCTAATGCTTTCAAGCCCGACGAACCCATTGAATATAATGGAATCCCCCTCAGGGTAATCCACCACGACACTGATAAGCTCTGGCTCGAATCTATGCCGCCCATCCAAACAGGTGACACTCTAACTCAGACCAAGCCGATAACTGACTTAGAAGAGATATACCAAGAATTCCAAGCCGAATGGATGAAACGATGGGATCGACATGCCCATACGCCAGACAGCGAATGGGAGCCAATCGTTGATTTTGTCAAAAATGCCATTCCGGCTCCGCCGAGCATGGAATATTCGCCTATCTCGTATAGCGCCTGGCAAACAGCTGTCGCCCACAAAAAAGTTCGGGCCGCAGTAGGCCCTGATGGAGTTTCGAGGAGCGACTTGCTTGCCCTCCCTAGGAGTCACGTCGAGCCAATCTTGAACATGCTGTCAGCCATCGAGCAAGGCCAATCCTTCTGGCCCAAGCAGGTTGTCACAGGCCATGTACATGCATTGGAAAAGATACCCAGTGCCTGGAAAGCCAGCCAATACCGTCCGCTGACGGTTTTCTCGATCATCTATAGGACATGGTCATCAATCAGGGCCAAACAAACCCTGTACCACCTGAGCCAATTCGTCTCCTCTCAGGTCACCGGCAACATCCCAGGGCGGTCATGTACAGACTTGTGGTTGAACATACAACTGCACCTCGAAGAATGCATGGCAGATCAGACCCCTGCAGCAGGAGTGGTAGCCGATCTTGTTAAAGCATATAACTTGCTCCCAAGACTCCCCCTCCTGGCCATAGGTCTGCACCTCGGGATAGCCAAACCCATCATCCAAGCATGGGCAAACGCGCTGCAGCAGATGGAAAGGGCTTTCAGTGTGAGAGGAACCATAGGCCCTCCCCTCACAACCACCACAGGTTTTGCCGAGGGTTGCGGTCTAAGCTGTGCAGCCATGCTCTTGTGTAACATAGCCTTGTCTAGGTGGCTTTACATAAGATTCCCCTCAGTCAAGCTTTGGTCCTACGTAGATAACCTTGAACTCACCGGCGCCAGCATTGCCGATGTTAACCAGGGACTACAACTGATGACACAGTTCTGTGACCTTCTTGACCTACAGTTGGATGAGGCCAAGACATATTTTTGGTCTAATGACGCTGCTGACCGTCAGGTTGCAAGACAGTCCAACCTCATGCTGCAAGCCTCCGCACGAGATCTTGGAGCACACATGGAATACGGCCTTCGGAAAACCAATCATGTCCTTCAAAAAAGAGTACAAACCATGCCACGCATCTGGATAGCATTGGCAAAATCGCCTGCGCCATACCGGCAGAAAGTAGATGCATTAAGGGTAAAGGGATGGCCACAAGCTCTGTCGGCAGTGTCCTCGGCAAGTCTCGGAGACACACATGTACGATCACTCCGAACCGGAGCATGTCGAGGCCTGCGAGTGCATGCGCCCGGCATTAGTCCCATGGCTCACCTTTCCCTGGTGGAGCACCCATCCACAGACCCAGCCTGTGCCATGCTGGTGAATACGGTCTTCACCATACGGCGACACGCCTGTCCGGATAGGGTAAGTGACCTAATGGACCGCCTGATAGCAGTAGGTTGGGATACAACGCCTCGACCAGGTCCGTGCCACGTTTTGCTCGAACGCCTGCACTCCATTGGATGGAGTTGGCTCGGCCAAGGTTGGGTCCTAGACCATGAACAGCAACCATTGGCACTGCTCCATGGCGCTCCCTCGGAAGTGCACCAAAGATTGCTAGAAGGTTGGCAAAACTTTGTCCAACAGTGCCTGACCCGTCGAAAAACGTTCCAGGGGATGGAATGGGTCCATGCCGGATTCACTCTAGAACACTTCCGAACCCATAATACACATAAGCAGGGTTTGCTTCGTAAGATCCTCAATGGTACGTTTTTCACGGCCGATACACAGGCCCATAATGATAAAGCTCATACCCTCACCTGTAAGTTTTGCGGTCAGCCCGATTCTCAATTCCACCGTTTTTGGGAGTGCAAATCCTTCGACAGTGCTAGGCCACACCCGTGGCTCACTGCGCAAGTCGTTGCAGGAGGGTTGCCAAAATGCTTAACTTTTCATGGATGGATGGGCCTGCCGGCATCAGTCAGAGAGTTGCAAAAGACACTGGTCAGCTGCCCGGACACCACAGACTCCTTTGAACAAGTGCCATTCCAACCACGTGACCTTTTTCTCGATGGATCCTGTGTCAACCCCACCTGCCAGTTCACACGCATGGCAGGATGGGGTATCGTGGCGGCACACCCGGAGGATACTGACCAGTGGTGGCCACTTGCTCAAGGGCGAGTCCCCGGCCGACGCCAAACAAGCGGCCGTGCTGAAATCTTAGCCGCCATCAGTGCTTTGAGGTTTGTGTTACGCTACGGCCACCCGGTTCGGTTGTGGTGTGACAACGCCCAGGTTGTCCACGCCCTCCAGCAAGCTTTACACAGACCGGCCGAGTGTAAGATAGGCAGAAAAGATTCGGACCTGTGGTCTTTGCTTGTATCGTTGGCCAGAACCATGCACGGCCACCTCGTCACAGTTCATAAGATTGCCAGCCATCAAAACAGATCCAACGTCAGCTGGATCGAACAATGGGCTTTCCAAGGCAATGATAATGCCGACCACTGCGCTCGCTGGAGCACATTGTTCCCGCAATCCCTTCATTGCCTGTGGCAACAAGCCACACGGGACATCCACTCAGCACGACTTTTGCGAGACCAAGTCCATAATAATATGCTTAAGGTCAGCGAAGAAGCTGTCAGCAAGGACCCGCCACCACAGGCGGATGATCCACCACAGCCAGCTTTTCCTCTGCCAATTCAGGACACCACGTTGGCGCCATTGCCAAACTTGCCACAAACTTGTACTCACAAACTTGTGGGAGAGGGGTGGTCCCTCCTGACCAATTGGTCCCAAACCTTGCATAATCCGACCGCCGAAGCGGTCCATGTGCCTTGGTTCTTTCTCCTAATAGATTTCGTGCTGCACACGGGCAGCGGTGGCATCCGTGCTTCACAAAAATTTGCCAAATGGCACTGGCTCACCAAAGAAGAAGCACGCCAATTCGAGCTTGTGGATCGAGTAAAATGGTTCAGACTGTTCTTGATCAGAGTACATAAGCTTGAGGGCCGACCGTTGCACACCACATATGTGCGCCCCTCCACTCGACAGGTAGTATTCTGGGCACACTGCCTTTGCTTTCGAATGGACCAATCTAGACTCAGACGCATTGAAGAGTACATCGGACGTTTCAAAGCCGTCCTGCTCCTCGGACGGGAGATCGCAGACCTAGAGCTGTAGTTCGACTTCCAACCGGGCCAAGGTCGCCCCCGCCACAAGCCGCGGCGCCTGATCCTCTCGGAGAAACGGAGAAATGGAGGCCATCGCTATTAGTAAAAGCGAGGCCTTTGAGCGGTTACGGTATACGGGTGTCGGCGGGACGGACGGTAGCCCGATGCACTTGTTCCTAGTAGCGTTCTTGCTCCTAGTAGCGATGCCAGGAGCACCTAGTAGCGTCCTTGTTACTACTAGTAAGGCACTTGTTACTACTAGCGATGCACTTGTTCCTAGTAACTCTGAAGAATTGGAATGGGTTTTATCTTCGAGGCGGCCTCGCCAACTGCAGCTTCAGCAACGCAGCAGTGCTGAATCCTGGAGCAATCAAAGCAAGGATGAACTGCATGTGATGCAGCAAAATTCAAATAAATGTGCGTCTTGCAGCATTCTCGTCTCAGGACAAGAATATTTCGACTGGTGTACACCCTCGGCCGAACAAGGTTGTCTTTTGCAAGAGCGCTACCAAGAAGGTCGAATGTTGAGGAATTAGGTGACGTCTGTGCTGCAGTGTCATGTTGGTCACGTGTTGTGTATTAGGAACAAGTGCATCGCTAGTAGTAACAAGTGCCTTACTAGTAGTAACAAGGACGCTACTAGGTGCTCCTGGCATCGCTACTAGGAGCAAGGACGCTACTAGGAACAAGTGCATTAGGACTGGTGGCGATGTCATGCGTGGTGATTTGTCATGTGGTGCAGTTTCATCGCTTTTGGGTTGGAGGCCATCGCTAGTAGGTGGGTGCAGAGTCATCGTGGTGTTTTACCGTGGTGATTTGCTTTGCGAAATGTGCAGTTGTGACAGGAGCAAGGACGCTACTAGTTGTGTAGTAGCGTGCAGTGGCGAGGCGTTCGTCCGGCATCCGGCTATCCTGCGTGAAAGGTAGCATCGTGGGCCACGGGCCACGGCCTTGACACCCTAAAGGGACCAGGCTTAGACGTCTCAAAACTAAGAGCGATGGCCTCCAATCGCGCAGTGTTTGCAAAAGGTTCTGTATATCCTTTGCCCGCTTGAAATGCCAATTGGGCACAGCAATGTACGCTTTCCCCGAATGTAGCAACCGGCCCCTGCGCTTGCCACGATTGCTTTGGAACATCTCCACGCTCAGGATTTGTCAAACAAAAACATGACAGAGAGGGTTCTTCACGGATCCCTCGATCTCTGTCCCTTGGAAAACTCTTCCACGCTTCCTTTACATATCATATCAAAAAGAAACAAACTAGGAGCAAGGACGGTACTAGGAGCAAAAACACAGTAAACCCATTGATTTTTGTAAAATTTCTTGTGCAACACTAGACAACACACGGCTTTCACTTGCTCCTTGGCAGTCTCACCTGAGACACTGCTCGGTCAGCTTCAAAAGCCGAAGGCGGTGCCTCTCGTCTGATGATGACACCATCAAAAAGTAAACAAACTAGGAGCAAGGACACTACTAGGGCTCCTGGCCTTACTACTAGGAGCAAGAAGCTACTAGGGGCTCCAGGCCTTACTACGCGCGACTGACCAAGCGAGGCCTCTTCAAGCAGCTGGATTGCGAGCTCATACCTGTCATTTGTGCTTCGGAGCATAACATGCGAAAAGACTAGACTCCCTTTTTCTCATTGCCAAACACTTTTCAAACATGTTTAGCCGCTAAATGGTCTTAGGTCTTTGGATACAATAGCAAAATGAAACGAACCAAGAGAAACAGAACGGACAGGGAAAGACAATGACTAGACTAGACCTAAGCGGTCTGCCAGTTTCGTACCAGTATTTGCTGTCCTGAGGGCCTAGCTCATCAGCAAGAACACGCTATCATATGGCCTTCACTACCCCTGACGACGAATTGCCACTGCGGTTGTGTTTGGTCGGTGAATAGCCAAGGGACAAGTTCACGTCTGCGGCTGTCAACTTGCAAATCATCACGGAGATCTCGTCATCCTTCAAAGGCCAGTATTTCCAACGCAACAAACACACAACCCGACCAATCAAACATCATGCAAGACATGCATGACAAACAAACATTTAAGCTTGGCATAGCCAACAGTACCACACTGCAATGTATCCCTGCGTAAATAAGCTTGTTTTGGCGGCGATCTTCGTTCCAAGCTATGAGCCTCTGTCGCCAAGTACACGACGGGGCTCCTTCATTTGGCGCTGCTAGTGCAACAAATTGGAAGAATGCGCTGCCCTCGTGTGGTGACGGTTTACAGGTCTAAACAGAAAAAACTTTTCCAAAAGAAACACGCAAAGGCGCTACTAGGGGCTCCTGGCATCGCTACTAGGAGCAAGGACGCTACTAGGGGCACGCAAAGACACAAAGGTCGCAAAACACTGAGGCCAAGACGCACAAGACTCAGAGACCTCACAAAGCTCTTCGCATCTTTCGATTTCAACTCTATTTTATGGCACTATATGTTGTATCTTTGTTTCGACCATTCTTGTTCTTTCTCCGTTTCTTAACCTTTCTTTCTGACATCAATCTCGGTGACATCATAAGGTCTTTACAACGTGGAATTTCAGACAGCCTTGGCCCTTTCCTTCTTAGAGCTGGAACGCCCCATGCTGACAAGAACCTACTTCAAGGGGAGTGGGACACCAAAGAGGTCCCTTTTTCTTTATGCTTGAAACACTTTGAGGATCAAGGAGAATACGGTGTAGACAACGACTATGTCTTGCATGTTCATATCAGCTTAGACGTGTGTGTGACCCATGGTAAATATGTCTTGGTGCTGCATCTCTCGATGACGTTTTTCTGACTGTTGCCTGCGGAAGCAACATTTTGGTACATTGTCGGGGTCTAAGAACCCAGTCCCTCCATCCAGTGCTGAAACTAGTAGCGAACCTTGTTCCTAGTAGTAAGCCCCTAGTAGCTTCTTGCTCCTAGTAGCGATGCCCTTGTTACTAGTGCTTGAAAAACCGGTCTCTCCCAAAAACACAATTGACACCGCTTTGCCCTGACGATGAAACCAATTTGAGCACAGGGTTTCGAGTGCAAAGTTCGTTTGACAGTAGATCGAAGGTAAGGTAGGAAATTTCATAGTCAATACACTCTCATAAATAAAGTGTTTCTGACAAAAGAAACAATCACAAAAGAAAAGGACAAATAAAGACAAACACAAGTACACAACGTGTTGCTGATTGTTTATTTGTAAAACCTTAGAGGAAGGAAGGTCGGTCTTGGCTTGACACTTTTCGCGCCGACCAAGGACGGACAAAACAAACCGTGCTTAAGGAGAGACAAAAGGCAACTTCTTGACAGTATGAACAAAAGAGGTCTACAGAGCAAATAAGTAAGCAAGAAGACTTTAGAAGGAAACGAACAGAATACTAAAGACATGAGCAACGTAGAAAAGGACAAAAACAGAAAACACCAATAGATGCTCTTTGCTCCTAGTAGCGTTCTTGTTACTACTAGTAAGGCACTTGTTACTAGTAGCGATGCCCTTTGCTCCTAGTAGCGATGCCCTTGCTCCAACCCTTTCTTCTCACCATGCAGCGCCTTGGAAGCCGTGGCTTGTACGGCCACGTCGCTGAAGCGCTCAGGGTCGTCACTCCTTTGAGCCTGGCGGAATTTGGCCAAAGCAATGGCCTTGAACCTAGAAGCCTCTTGTTTCTAATAGCCAACCTTGTTACTACTAGTAAGGCGCTTGTTACTAGAAGCGATGCACTTGTTACTAGTAGCTTCTTGTTACAACCTAGAAGCGTCCTGTAGCTTCTTGTTACTAGCGATGCCAGGAGCTACTAGTAGCGATGCCCTTTGCTCCTAGTAGCAATGGCCTCCAAACCTAGTAGCAAAAAGGATCAAACAACGCTTTCAGAACATCTTGGATGCTCCCAAGAACCCTCTCAGGACAAGGAACGAGATGGAATGACAAGGCACACAAGAAGGCTTTCTTCAAATTGACCGGGGTCTTACTGAGTTTCAAATCTGAACTTGCTTTCTGATCTTTGAAGTAACAAGTGCATCGCTAGTAGTAACAAGTGCCGTAAGAGTAGTAAGAATGTTTGCTATTAGAATTAAGTTTAATTAGAATAAGTTTTTCGATGCTTGAAACCCCTGCATCAACAAGCACCTTCCAGTTGACTGCCAGGCACAAGCCACCACACAAGGCTTGTTTGACCTCATGCTTTCGGACAAACCTTTTGTTGTAGAACCAAGGGCCAACAGAAAAGACTGTCTTGTTGTCTTTGACACCTGCTGACCTTTCAGATACAATTCTTGCAGAGTTCAGCCACGCCTGATGTTCTTCGTCTTCAACCTCAAACTGATGAGGTGACCCAATTCGTCTGATAAATGGAGATATGACATGATGGACGACTTGGGATATCTTTGGATGACCTCATAAGTTGCATCAGTTTGGCTTATCCAAAAAGCAACGACACTTCTCGTAGCAAGCTAAAACTGCAGGGACATCCTCAAGACTGAAGACAATCTTGCAGAACAGAGCGTTCAATTTCGGAAAGGCAGGAAGGAAGGATCAAGGGTCAAAAGAAGCTACTAGGAACAAGGGCATCGCTTCTAGTAACAAGTGCCTTACTAGTAGTAACAAGAAGCTACTAGGAGCAAAGGGCATCGCTACTAGTAACAAGAAGCTACTAGAAAAAGACTACTTTTCTCAGCATTCTTGCTGAGTTCACATAAGCCAAGAGAATCTCTGAGGTCTGAGGACCAAACACTCTCCGGAATCTCACGACAAAGCCATGCCTTTTGGAGAAAAGGTTTTAGTAAAGCTAAAAAACCAATCTTCTAGTAGTAAGGCCAGGAGCCCCTAGTAGCTTCTTGTTACTACTAGTAAGGCACTTGCTACTAGAAGCGATGCACTTGTTCCTAGTAGCTTCTTTTGAGTTCCTAATAGCAATGGCCTCCAACCTAATAGCAATTGTTCATACTGCCTCCGATTTCCTCCTTGTGTTTTCTAACATCGCTGAGACAGGGACAGTTAGCTCTGGGGACACCATTATGTCCTTCAAGTGTTGACGACAAGGGTGTTGTCGAGACATATGTGAAGTTGCAAAGCTGTTTTGGTATTTTTTCAAAAGAAGCTGCCTTGAAGCACTCTGCAGCAAACTCCTGGACTTCAAAACTTGGAACAAAAGGGTTGAGATGGGTTTAGTGGATTGAATCGGCCTGCCATTCTTTGGCATCAGCAGTTCGATTGGTGCGCACCAACGAACCCTTGACCTGGAGTTCAAGTGCACACTCCGCATTGACTCCGCTTCCTCAACCAACCTATTTGGACTTCCCACTAAAACAAACACGCGAACTTTCTGTGGAAACTGAGTGAACATCAAAAAAAGAATGCCAGTTCTCAGTGCCTCTGTTAGGCCTCGAAGTGTTCGCTGGAGCGCCTACCGAAGGAGAAACCAAAATTGGACCGTCCATCTAGTTGCTTTTAGTAGCGTCCTTGCTCCTAGTAGCGATGCCAGGAGCCCCTAGTAGCGTCCTTGCTCCTAATTAGAAGCTTTGCTTGCAATGCTGCAAAGGTGGTTTTTGCATTTCCCAGCTGAGATGGCAGAACCTGGACCAACGCCATGTATTGTTTTTTTCCTTTGGTGCTGACTTTGCAAGGTTGATGGATTGAAAGTTTCGGTTTGGTGGCATGTTGCTGGATTTGGTGGCTGCTGGCCTTTTGGTTCTGATCGTAATTCTCCCTACAGTGGTGTCACATTGCCGACTTCCCGCTTGGTAGGAGGCAATCGCGATTAGGTGGAGGCCACCGCTACTAGGTTGGAGGCCATCGCTAGTAGGTACAAAATGCACTCTTGCAAAAAACAACACTTGTCTGGAACTTGTGATCATGCATTGTTTGCATTCCCATTGCTCGTGCGCCCAATGTGTTGTGAGGTCGTCCGCGATTGCCGTGTTTACCGCTCCGGGTTCCATCGTTGTAGCTCGGCTTCAAGGGTGTTTGAGTTTCCCTAAAAAGTCTAGGAACCAAATCTAGGGGCTAGAAGCTACTAAGGGCTCCTGGCATCGCTACTAGGAGCAAAAACGCTACTCGGGGCTCCTGGCCTTACTACTAGGAGCAAGAAGCTACTAGGAAATAGCGCGAGCGCTTCTTTGTGATTTTCGCCGGCGACATACATGTTAGCCCTGAGATCCGGAGTGGTTCTCGTTAATGTAGGTAGCGAACATTGCTCCTAGTAGCGATGCACTTGTTACTACTAGCGATGCACTTGTTACTACTAGTAAGGCACTTGTTACTAGAAGCGATGCACTTGCTCCTAGTAGCGAACATTCAGTGATCTGGCCATACGGAAAGCGGGTGGGTGCGAATTCACAACCCCTACTTGAGACGTGCGCGAAACAGTTTGTTGGACAGTCTTGGACATTGGACCTGTCACTACCCCTTATTGCCGACGAATAACTCTCTAAACAATTGCTGTTCGTTTCTTTCTTCTTCTTCTTCTTCTTGTCCACGTCTGTTTTCTAGAATTTCTTTCTTCTTTCCTTCCTTCGTTCATTATTTTCCTTTTTTATCACCAAGAAGTAGAACGTATCTTTTCACAGGACTTCACAAGAGTACCGTCCCGCGTACCTCTGGCAGTTCCTGGCAGATTTAAGTCCAATTCACGCAAAGGTGGCTAAATGAGACACGTATTTGCTTCGTGCTTGAACAAAAGGAAAGAGCAAAAGAGAACATGAAGAATCGAAGAACATCTGAACACATAATAGCTTCTTGTTACTACTAGTAAGGCACCTGTTACTACTAGCGTGGCACTTGTTACTACTAGCGAACCTATGAAGACACAGATAGTTTCATGAAACTAATTGATGATTTCACTACCATCTTAAAACGTAAATGCGTTTCGCTGCTCACCTGACTTTGCTCACAGTGTCTCTGAATGCACTCTGCCAGCACCTCAAAAAAAAACAGTGAACCCTACCCCCTTACCGAACCTAATTGCAATGGCCTCCAAATTCATTAAATTGAAGCCAATACGCTACTAGGAACAAGTGCATCGCTACTAGTAACAAGTGCCTTACTACTAGTAACAAGAAGCTATTAGTTAATTTATTTTTAATTTTAAGTTAATTCTAATAGCTTCTTGTTACTACTAGTAAGGCACCTGTTACTACTAGCGTGGCACTTGTTACTACTAGATTAAATTGAAGCCAATTTGCATTTAAATCTTTTGGTTCGGGGGGGCTAGGCCGCTAGGAGGATAAGGTAGCTACTAGCTACTAGTTAGCTCCTATGGACGCCCGATAGCGCGACTAATGATTTGGTTCCTAGACTTTTGGGGAAACTGAAGAGTCTTCTTTTGAGTTACTGATTGCCATTGCCTCGAACCTAAGAGTGATGGCCTCCAACCTACTGGCGATGGCCCAAGTCCGAAAGGTAGATTGGAGGCCATCATTGGTAACTCAGGAGCATTTTTTCCTCCAAGCACTATGGTAACACTAAGGGTTCTTACGGTAGTGGTTAAAGACGGGCGTCTGATCGAGGTGCTCGCATCCGCCGGCGGCTAAGTCGCTGCTATTTCCAATGCATTCATCGCAGGTTCGCAGAATCTGCACTACGTGAATCTTGACGTTCCTGGTAGCTCCTTGTTACTACTAGCGTGGCACTTGTTCCTAGTAGCGTGGCACTTGTTTCTACTAGCTTCTTGAAGTGCAGATTTCGCGGGAGGCGCAGAAAATGTGCTCTCATGTGTGTTGTCAGACATCTCTCGCCACCTCGAGACCTCTAGAACTCTGGACCTAGACCTTCAATTGAGCCTGCAGTTTGTGAACCCCGATCCAGCACCATCATCATCACCACCATCATCACCATCATCAACAACATCATCATCATCACCACCACCGTCACCTCTCTCTGAAGCCCAAAACGTCTAGAGATCTCTAAGCCTTCTGCTTCTACAACTGTAGACCTTTAGACACACTGTTTGGGGTCTTTTGCCATCGGTATCAGGTTGGAGGCCTTTTTAAAATTAGTTTAATGAGTTTGGAGGCCATTGCTATTAGGTCAAGTCTGAAAGGTTTGAAGCTGAAAGGTCTGTAAGCACAAACATCATTCCTGGGATGTTTAAGAAAACATCGCGTCGCATGTCTGTCAAAGCTTGTTTCGTTTAATTGGACGCACTGAGGTCTGCTCCAGCATGTTACCCGGAACCTGAAGACAAAAGATGCATCGTGCCAATCAAGGTGCCCTTGGCTGAGGCACTTTGGTACACAAAGACAACACATCTTTGCCTCAAACAACAATTTGAACAGAAAACAAAAACAAAAAAACAACAAAGAAGAACACACGCAAGAAAGAAACCAAACAAAGGAACAACGTTCTTGAGAAGAAGAAACAAAAAAAAGGGTACGGAAAGGAATAAAAGGCTTGTGAAAAGGTTTGTGCTGGTGACTTGTGAGTAGCAAGGACGCTACTAGGGGCTCCTGGCATCGCTACTAGTAACAAGGGCATCGCCACTAGGAGCAAAGGGCAACGCTACTAAGGGACAAGGCCCCCAGTCCTCCTTGCGCACTTCATCGACAACGGGCACCTTGACATCGATGCATTGCATTCGGTGAGCATGCGTGGTTGATGTGTTAAACTCTGCTAAACGCCTTTGGTTTTCTTTCTTTTCCTTCTGTCTTATGCTCTTTCCTCTTGACTTTCTTTTCTTTAGGCCTTTCGACCTCCTTTTCCTTGATGTCTGAAACGTTTGATGATTTTGCAACACCCTCACGATGTATTCGATTGACAGGGCCTCACGTCGTCCAGGCACCAGCAGGCAGCTGCTAATGCACAGATCTGCTGTTGCCCGAGGTGCCAGTCCATCACGCTCCTAGCAAAAGCAGCTTTCAGAGAATCTTCTCATGCAATTTAATCTCGCAATTTGGTTGGAGGCCATCGCTTAGGTGTTCATGCATCAATCTCACTTGTGCGCCCCCTCTCTCCTGGCTGCGCTTTTGAGACATGATCTGCCCGCGTCTCTTGTCAGCACCATTGGCGACACTGAACCACCTGTAGCCGGCCTGCCGCGAAGTGGAACACCTGAAACTATGTGTTCATGGTTTGGACATGGCGCTCACTTCACTAGCGCCTGCTTCAGCCTGGTCTCAACCTCCTTGTCCAGTACCATCTTGCCGTCCTTCAAGGCTTAATTGCAAGAAGGTTGGACGCCATCGCGATTAGGGTGGAGGCCATCGCTTCTAGGTTCGAGGCTATCGCTTCTAGGCTGGAGGCCATTGTTGTGAGGTTGGAGGCCATTTCCTCTAGGTTGGAGGCCATTGCTATTAGGTTGGAGGCCATGGCTTCTAGGTTGGCGGCCATCGCTAGTAGGTTGGAGGCTATCCCTCATAGGTTGGAGGCAATCGCGGAGGCCATCGCTTCTACGTTGGAGGCCATTGTTATTGGGTTGGAGGCTGCCGCTCTTAGGTTGGAGGCCAGTGCTATTAGCTTGGAGGCCGTCGCCATCGCTCTTAGGTTGGACGCCATTCCTATTACGTTAAAGGCCCGAGAGCATCTGTCTTAGGTTTCAGGCCATCGCTAGTGGGTTGCAGGCCGCTAGTAGGTTGGAGGCCATCGCTATTAGGTTGGAAGCCATGGCTTGTGGGTTGGAGGCCGTCGCTTCTAGGTTGGAGGCCACCGCTCTTAGGTTGGAGGCCATTGCTATTAGCTTGGAGCCCATCGCTAGTAGGTTGGACTATTGCTATTAGGTTGGAGGCCAGAGGGCATCGATCTGTCTTGGGTTTCAGGCCTTCGCTAGTGGGGTGGAGGCCATCGCTAGTAAAGGATGTTTCGCACCACAGCTCACCTCGGATGGAATAACTCAATAGGAAAACACGATTTGCCAGTTGTCCCGTCCGAGATTGATCCTTGGAAGGTCTACCTTTTCCTTCGCCGCCGTCGTCGTCTTTCATGTCTGCAGCTTTAATGGCAGTGTCCTGGCAAGCTCCGAAAAACTCTCTTTGGAATTGTGTGTGTGTGTCTAGTACCTCCGCAATTGCATCGATAATTGCACCATCGTTGCGTCTCCTCAGTGAAACACGGAAAGAAAGGATAAACTATGAAAGATAAAGTACTTAGCTTCCGATCGTTGCGAAATAAAACGCAATAAGCTCAGAGTCAAGATGCAGATTGCTAGGCAGCACCCGTAAAAGCCCTTCCAACGTTGCGCAAAAGACTTTCACATGCGCAAGGATTGCTTCTGGAGGTATACCGGAATATGGCAAAAATGATCCATCATCATTGTCACTCGACCACCTTCAATAAGCCATAGCAAGTAGGCACAGTCTCCGATGAACATCCTGTTTGTTTGCCGCGTACAGTAGCAAGCAATCGCTGCAGAGGCTATGCGGACGAGGTGCTCACTCCAGGAAGGCTGGTGTCTGGTGTCCGCCCTTTTCTGTTGGCAAAATAGCATGTCTATTCATTTGTCTCCCAGGTCCGTCACTGCCGGTGTCCGCCCTTTTCCGTTGGTGATGCAACATTTCTATTCATTCCCCAAACAGTCTACTCTTAGGGGTTCTCAATTCTTAAGATGTGTCCGCCCTTTCTGTCACTGCTGGTGTCCGCCCTTTTCCGCTGGCCATGGAGCATTTCAATTCATTTCTCTCAAAAGTGATCTCTTTACTTTTGCCGACCGCCGCCAGGCTGCACGTCGGTCGTCGTGCTCCCGGGCCTGGCCGCCGCCGCGCGCGCTGGCGGCGTGCCGTCTCTCTCTTTCTCTTTCTCTTGCTCTTTCTCTCTCTCTCTCTCTCTCTCTTTTTGTTTTGTTTGCCGCGCCTGCCGTGCGTCTGCTAGCCGCTTGCTGACGCGCTCCACAAGGTGTAGGAGGCCTGCCTGCCGTTCTCGGCGCCGCGTCCCGTGCGCCCCCGCGCCTCGTCGCCGCGAGCCAGCAGGACGCGCTGCGCAGCCAGCTCCTCGTCCCTCCACTTGGCCACTGGTGGCGCTGCCGCCGTGGCGACCTGCAGCGCGAGGAGGCGCTTGTTCTGTCTCTTCGGGCGTTGGCGCGCCCTGTCCTCTCTTGCCTCCGCCTTGGGGTTCTTCGGCGGCAGGGGCTTGGCGCTGCCCGCGCGCCGCGGTCGACCGCGCGTACCCTTTTGTTCGGCTCGCCTTCTGTGCCTCCCCAGGTCGCAGCGCCACTGCGTAGTCCTGCTGCAGTTTTTGCTTGAGACTCGAGCCGTCCACGGCGTCTCCCAGGTTCGGTTTGGTGCCTGCACTGCTGCTGCACTGCGGGCACCTGCCCTTTCCCCTTTCCAGCATTTCTATCTATTCATTTGTCTCCCAGGTGATTTCTGTACTTCGCCAATGAGGTTACTGTTAGGGGTTCTGAAGGCTTTCTAAGAGTGTCCGCCTTGCTGCGGGAGAGCGTGTCCGCCTTCCGTCCGGCTTGTCTCCCTTTGTCTCTCTTCTTGCTTTTTGTTGTTGGTCACTGTGTCCGTCTTGTCCCCCTTCTGTCTCCCTTTCTCTCCGGTCTTGTCTCCCTTCTTGGTGGTCATTGTGTCCGTCTTGTCTCCCTTCTGTTTCCTTTTGTCTCCCTTATTGTCTCCGTTCTTGTTTGTCATGGTGTTGTCTCCCTTCTTGTTGGTCATTCTTGTCTCCCTTCTTGTTGGTCTTGTTGCCTTCTTGGTGGTCATTGTGTCCATCTCGTCTCCCTTTTGTTTCCTTTTGTCTCCCTTCTTGTCTCCCTTGTGTTGGTGTCTCGAAAAGTAAACTTGGGAATCCCACCTGTTTGGGGCCTACGGTGGCGTAACTTGTAGCGTGCGATGCTCTGAAGTAGCTGTGGCTCGACACTGCTTGCTAAGATTGCACTGATTGATTTCCAAGTAGTTCAGGGAAAGTGTTTGAAAGTCAACACTGGAAGTCATGGCACCTGGCATAAGCCTTCGTCTTTTCAGCTTTTGAATAGCTTCTTCTTGTCCGTTGTCATTCTCCCCCTTCAAAACTACTATCTGCTTGTCCAAACACACCGCTTCCTATCGTGGAGGCCGCGCAGTTCTTTTCTTTTGCTATCTTGACCTCGTTCCTGTACAGAATTCTCTCCACTCCAGAACTTGTTGATTTAGGTGCCACACCAAGACTTGTATCCATTTGCCCCTCCAGCTCCTCTGGCTCCATCTGCTGTAGATGTTTGTCACTCAATCCCTGGCTTTGAGGTGAAGGGTCACTCCCACCGCAAACATGGAAGTCCTCGCTGTCTCTAAAAACATTTCTATGTAGTTGAGCTGGCCTCTTTGTGGATTCAGTGGCTCACCGCAACAGCTTGACCCCAGCCACTTCCGACTTTCTGAGCGCATCCACTGTCTTCTCTCGCGGCAAGCGTGTTCCCCTTCTTCCTTTGGAGTCCTGACATACGGACACGGATGTTTCCATTGGTTCAACAAGCCGTGAATAGCGCCGTTCCCTGAGGGGCAGCAAAGGTCCACTCTTATTGGGTATTGACTACTTCGCAATACAACTGCCACCACGAGAACAACAAAACAAACAAAAGGCAAACGGTCACAACAGAAGCGCAAAGAAGGAAACGACAACAAGTATTGACAAAGGTAACAGTGAGCAACGCAACATCTCCTCTGTCAAGCCATAGGAAGTCTTCGGAACATCAGCGTCTGCTTTTTGTCTTTTTGTTTAGGTTTTTTGGGGGGCAAGCCGCCGTGTCCTTGCTGTCCTTGCTCGTTCAGCAGAACAGCCATATGGGACGTAAGCATCGCTGTCCTGCACCCAGAGTATGACATTATCTGACTTCATATATATATATATATATATTTTTTACTGCAACTGCAACTATGAAATCACATTTGTATAACTTCTGGAATCTCCTGTGACCGGAAGTGGGCCGCTTCAGCAAAGGCTTCGCTCGTGGCCCGAAGCTTCTGACACCGGCCTTGAGGGATCTATGCTCAGACAAAGGGAGACAAAGCAAAATCATCTCAGCCCCGCATCCAAACATGCCATGTCAGACAAGGGGAGACAAGGAGAGACAAAGCAAAGTGATCCCAGCCCAGCGTCCATGGGAGACAAAGTCATCTCAGCCCAGCATCCAGACGCAGACAAGGGAGGACAAGGGGAGACAAAGGGAGACAAAGCAAAATCTCAGCAGCATCCAGACATGCCATGGGAGACAAGGGGAGGCAAAGCAAAATCATCTCAGCCCAGCGTCCAGACATGCCATGGGAGAGAAGGGGAGACAAAGGGCGGGAATCATCTTGGCCCAGCATCGTTTCTATGCAAGAATTGAGAACCCCTCACAGCAAAGCTGTCTAAGAGCAATCCACGTCTGAGTCGTACCAAAGTCAGGTGAGCCCAGGGCAACACCGCGCGATTTGTAACTGAAGTGGTTGACACATAGAAAAAGCATCGGTAGACAGGTCAGCCCTCACCGCTTGTGCAGGTTTGTTGTAGGCTTCCAATATCCCAAGACCGGCTCGCGACTACTTTAGTGTGCCGCAGGTTTTGTGAGATGCTCAAAAGTTGTTACGACTGGATCCCTTCGTATTTCACATATAGCAACAGCGATGCGCTAGTCATGTCTCTCTTCTTATCACAAATTCCATGAACGAGCCACACAACTTGTATAAAGGAGCTCAAGCCAAGCCGCTCTGGCTCCAAACCACGAATCCATCTAATCTCATTCACTCGGCAGTCACTGTCAACTCCAAGACAGGTCCTCTAGACGCAACGATGCGAGCCCTTCGGCCCAGCAAATCGGAGGCAGCCATGGAGGATGCGCACTGATAGCTGATGCAATCCGATATGAGAATACACTATCTTGGCCGTGCTCTGCGCATTGCTTTTTCTCCTTGAATTCTACTTTTGCATATACAGTAGTTGTCTCATCAAATGTAATAGCATTCGCGCGCTTGTTGAAGTCAGTTGTTTCACAGCCATGAAATATCTCTACGCGGAGCCACTGCTCGCAAACACGATTCAGTAAGCGCAGGAAAAATGTGCGCTCTCGACTCACCAAGAAGTTGAAGTACTTCGGGACGCAAGCCTCTTGTATGTCTCCCTGTTGTTTGGGGCAATTGCTCGTACCTTTTTGATGATTTTTATACAGACTATATGCACAAGGGACATCAAATTTGTTAACGCCGAACTAATATGATATGTCTAATGAACAAATGCGTGAGCGGAGCGGAATCGCAGTGTTCCTGATAGGAAGGTTACGGAAAGCTTTCGAGAAGCAAACATAGTAAAGAGTTCTGGTTGAATTTTGCACCATCAGCCCGCGCAGTGGAGTTCTACTAAGACGGACGTCACTGCGCGAAGTGGAAAGCTTTATACAATTAAGATTGCAGTTCGGAATGAGGAATTGTTTCAGCTCCGGGCAGGAAGTATTTCATATAACTCCGTTTCATGCTGCAGAGGGAGAAGCCTCATACTGTTGATGGACAAAATCCTGAACCACTTTGCGCACTGTCTTCTTGCTGCCTTCATTCTCCCTCGTTAACATTGGGGCCGCCGCAGTGGAAAATTTAAAACAAGCTGAAGATCAAAAATCCTGCGCCGCCTCCTAAGAGACATTGAACGAGGGGGCGCAGGGGTTGCTATGCGACCCTTCCAAGGTGAGGTGGTGAGGTGGCACAGGATTTGCTCCATCAACAATATGATTATATTTCAGACCGCTAAGGGAACATATTGCTCAGCCCGCGAAGGTGAATTGTATCTCAGCCCGAGGGGATAGTTTCCTATGATTTAATATCAGTCCGTGAAGGGGAATATTGCTTCAACCAGCGAAGGGGAGAGGTTCCGAGGTTTCAGCGAAGGGGAGAGGTTCCGAGGTTTCCAAGTCCAAGTATTTAGAAATTCTAAAAGGATACAAACAACTAAAAACAAAAAAATAAATCCTTGATGTTCCAAGGTTTCCAGGTATTTCGAAATTAAAACAAACTTCATATTTAGTTTTTTGTCTTCTTTAGATTTTCTAAATACCTGGAAACCTCGGAACCTCAAGGGTTTAAATTTGTAAAAACATATTTTTGTAAAAGGCCGCAAGACAAACCGCAACATATTGAATTTTAACTTTTTTTAAGGCCGCAAAACTAACAATTCTAAATATTTAGTCTCTTTATTTTTTACAGGCAGCAAACCAGAAAAACTAAATATTTTGCTTTTATTTCTTTAGAATATATAGATACATGGAAACCTCGGAACCTCAAGCGTTTAGATTTTTTTAGATTTTTAATAGGCAGCAAAACTAAGCAACTAAATATTTAGTTCTTTTTAAAAATCTTTTGTTCTTCTTAGTAGGCCGCAAAACAAAAATATTTTAGTCATCGTTGCGCCCAGAACTGTTTTCGCACATGGGAAAGATCTCCGGCCATCAACTCCATCAGAAGCGCTCCGTCCACTTCCCCCAAGAAGTCTACGACCTGACGGGCTTTTGAACAGTGAAAGCATGGCAGCTGGGAACGCTTTCACTGTGCCAACCTGAGAGTCGGGCCTTGGGATGCCTGCAGCACTGCATGGCTTTGATCTCGGCCATGAGTGGAGATGCCTCCTTCA